TCACTTTTAATGATCAATCATCACTTCATGTTAATAATCACTTCTTTTCTTATCCAACAATCACATCTTTTCATGTCTAACAATCACTTATTTTTATCATAACAAACTATTTCAACATTTCTCACAAGGGTTTTTTTCTTTTGGTATTTTACTGTTGGCTTTTGTAATTGTGGCTTCAGTTGGTTGGAGTGGAGGTTACTCGAAGATATTGAGGATTCCGATTTTCTTGAGATGGTGCCAAATAATTTTATTTAAAAAATAGAGAAAAACGTGTCAGTACCAATTTAAACTTTGGCTCGATATGCAATATCATCTTTGGAATTTTAAGTCATTCAACGTGTCCATAGATACTCATATTTAAAAGTTATCTATAGATATTCATACTTCTCATTCCTTACAATTTAGATTGATAAGATTTTCAATTATCTCAATCTTGTTCCTAATTTATTAGATTGATAAAAAAAAAAGTTTAAAACAACATTTAGATTAGTATAAGTATGAGTTTATATAAATAGATTAATAATGTTTGCCAAAATCCTTATGAAAACATTTAAATATAAAATAGCAGGAATATCAATCCTATACAGCTCTAAACGAGTTTCTTCTTTTATTATTATAGAGATCATAAGCTAAAACTTACTTAAATGGAGCTATCTTCAAAAAATTTAAGACTACAAAGGTAATTCAAAAATAGCATATTTTTGTTTATATTTTGAAAAGGATTGAAATGAAAAGATATTCTAAAATCTAGGCAATAGTGTAATTATGAAAATTTGTGAAAAATACATAAGGATGGATTTGACTTTGTTGGACCGTTGAGGAACTAGATTGCACAACTTGAAAGTTTAAGGACTACATTGAACATTTATAAATAGTTCAAGAACCACATTGAATAAATTAAAGTCTAAGGATGACACAACATGCCAAAGCTTTGGGACTCTTAATGTCATTTCCCATTTGTTGGAATATTAAAAACTCCAGCAAATTGCATAGGTTTGAGAAGTTATTGGTCAGTGATCACACAAAGCAAGGTCATTTTGCCACACAAATCACACTATGAACACACTTCTCAAGCCACACTATGAACATCTTCTCATTGTTTAAAATATTAAATGACTCGCATACAACCCAGCTCACTAAATGTGAGTTTTTGTTTTTTTGTGGAACACTAATATGAGTTTTTTTTTTGTCTGTCCTATTCTAACTCTCAACTCACTCTCAGACTTTTGCTCTACCTCTTGCAGGGCGTGGAAGTCGAAATCCACATCTGAAACTATACATCCCCACCCCTAACCCCCTGAGAAGGTGGGGATTCGAACTCCCCACCTCCCCCTTCCCAAGTAAGAAAGGTAGCCACTGGGGCCAACCCTAGTGGTTCACTAATATGAGTTAGAAAGGTGAGTCTTTGACTCATTTTGCCACCTTTAATGTCGATGATGGTGAACTGATCGAGAGAAAGGATGAGAAGATTTGGAAATTAAGGTTTAGTTTAGACATTTGGGTATAATAGTTTATTTGGGAAAAATTTGAAAATTAGGTTCAAGACATTTCCGGACAACAATTCTGCTGTCCACGGCACAAATAATGGTGCAAAACATGCATGTGTTTGTCGTCCGGCCAAGATTTTGCTACCGGTGAGATGGAGAATCAACTGAGACTAAGGCTGCGCATGACAACCATTCTGTGTCCGGAAACAGATTCTGTTAAGAAATGATTCTTTTTTATTTCGTGCCCGGAAACAATTTCTAAGCATTTGAAGGCATTTGGTAACTGTCCAAAATTTCTATTCTTAGAATAGAAAAAGAATAGATATGCGTTTGGTAACTACACAAAATTTCATTTTATTAATAATATATTTGAATTTTTTAATATTTCTTTTTTTCTTTTTTCCTTTTTTTTTTCTTTTTTTTCTTTCTTTCCCTTCCCTTCCTTGGCCATGGCCGGTCGTCGGCGCCGGCGACCGGCCACAGGCCAAGGCCAGCGAGGGCGTTGCGGTCCTTGCCGCCGACCTCTAGGTGGCAACGGTGAGGTCGGCCTCGCCTTGGCTAGGCGAGGCTAGACCTCGCCCAGATCTAGCGAGGCCAACCTCGCCGTCGCCAACCCAGGCAACGGCGAGGTCGAGCCTCGCCTAGCCAAGGCAAGGCCGGCCTCGTCGTTGCCACCTAGGCAACGAACCTGGGTGGCGACGGTGAGGTCGGTCTCGCCTTGGCTGGGCGAGGCCTGCGCCGACGCCGCCGGCCACCCCTGTGGCCGGTTGCAGGCAAGCCGGGGGTGGCGGGCGGCAGCAAGAACAACAACAAACCAAAAAAAAGAAGAAAATCAAGAAGAATCGAAATGGAAAAATTGTTCCGAATTAAGAAGCTACTTTTTTGCTTCTTGATTACTTCAAAATCGATTCTCAGGAACAATTTTTGCAAAATTGTGCCCGGATACAAAAAATTTAACAAACGGATTTTTGCTCCCAAATTGATTCTGGGAACAAAAGAATATAAATTTTTACTATTTGGCAAGTTGCCAAACGTGCCCTAAGTCACCAACTTTAGAATCTACTTTGAGACAAACCCCGCTCTGAGATTGTACTTCAAAAAAAATGAGCCGCTTCAGGGGATTTTTGCAATATTCCTATATTTTTTTTTGCTAGACTTTTTCTTCGGTGTTTATTTGTATCCAAACATTACATTTGCATTTGTGTATGACTCTATTGCGGATTTGATTCTCCAACCCACTTTTCGATTAAATAAAAATGTTCTTTCAACATGTTTAGGACAATAGTAGATGGAAAAAAAGTTAGTGATTCTCCAAACCACTTTTCTCGAATTAGGAAAAAATTGGAATGCAAAGGAATTAAAATGCAATGGTAAGTATGTCCTCCAAATAAATTATAGGACAAAGCCAGGAATACAATTGAAATAGTTGTAACTCGACCTAGGAATGGAATGGTTCACCACTCCCCCATTAATCCTTCCTCCATTCGAAGATGACTCCTCTACCAAAAGACACCGTTAAAATTTTAAATATGTTTCCATTACTACTACAAATAATGATCAGAATAATACTGCGTAGCTTACAAATGATGTTAGGCTTTTCATTAAACATGTCATTGGAGATGGAAGATCTACCTTTTATGTGGCATGATGAATGGCATTCCCTCGGCCCTCTGCTCAACCACTTCACTGGTAGAATTGTCTATGCTTCTCCTCTGCAACCTCATTCGAGAGTGGCTAATATTACACTTGATTTGCGCTGGTTTTGACCTCATACTAGATCAGAGGCTTTAGTGCAGATTAAGTTGGTATTTGCGATACAACCAAATTCTTCCGTTGCTAATAGGGTCATTTGCAAGTCAACTCCCAGAATGCTTTAAGAGTCAAGGATTTAGAGTGCCTTGGTATTAACTTGTTTGGTTCAACCCATGTGTACCGAGTCAATGGTTTATTACATGGTTTGCAACAGGTTGGTGACTAAATATAGATTGATTGCCACTAGGCATGCGGCTCAGTGGTAAGGGAATTTGGGTGGGGTGGGACATTAAGTTTCAGACGTGGGGTTTGACTTCCACGCTCTGCAAAGAGGCAAAGTAAAAATCCAAAAGAGAAAAGGGATTGATTGATTGCCACTAGGCATGCGGCCCAGTGGTAAGGGAATTTGGGTGGGGTGGGACATTAAGTTTTAGACATGGGGTTCAACTTTAACTTATCGGCTAACGGTCTCTCGGAATTACGCGCCTCGACCCGGCACACTAAGTTAAATCACGTTTAAGTTTACTCCAAAGAGCAGGGAGCGCTAGAACAAGTAGCCGTCTGGTTGACTCAAATAAAAATAGAAGAAGAAAGATTGGGTTCTTTGGTCGTGCGAACTCAATCCCGTCAGCGGCCCTACCCGTAAGGTTAGCATCCCGAGAATGCGCATTTCAGGGTGAGATCTCACTATAAGTGCATTGGCCAAATTCATTCCCTAAATCCAGGGAAAGGATCGAAAATTCACATTACGCTACCCAGGGCATGCGTTACGATTGGTAAGGGAATTTGGGTGGGGTGGGACATTAAGTTTTAGACATACAGGGTTCAACTTCCACGCTACGTAAAGAGGCAAAGTAAAAGTCCGAAAGGAGGAGAGCTAGAGTAGGACGATGATAAAAATAGAAGAAGAAAGATTGATTTAGTGGAACTTGCCTGTTTCTCTTATTTGCGTCTGTGCACCAGGCTATGCTTTGTAGCTTCAACAGGGATCAAGAGGGATTAGTGACTAGAAGTTTGAAGTTGATTGGGTTGCGGCTAATTTCAAAGGTAAAGATCTGCCGCAGTTTATTGTTCAAACTCTCTTGAAATGCTTTCATTTATTTTAATGGGCGTGCTAGGAATTGGAATTTGCATTCTCCTACTGCTGCTTCTATTAGTGCTGCTTCCATTGTTTCACATATATATATTAAGAGAACTATACAATCAAATGTCGAATATCAATCACTACCATATTCAGACAAATTCAAAGTACAGCTCGTTTTATCAACAACCGGGACTATTTCCAGCCTTCTCCAGTCTGCAATCATTTTTCATCGTTTTCATGCGACCACCTTAATTGAAAACTAGAAAGATAGCATTGGCAATCGTGCTCAAGCTTCAATCATTATTATAAATGCAAGAAAGAACATGGAGATAGTGATAGATTGCCATATTAGGTTTTAGAAATCAAAGAGTTGCAAGATCCAAACGAGGTTAAGAAATTTTAAACTCTATAGAATCAAAAACTGTCTAGTCTACCCTTGATCCACATGTATTCCTTATCGCAGTGATCAATTTACATTTAAGGGGAGAAAAGGCTAAGAAAAAGTCACCCTGAACTTATTTGGAAATTTCTTTTCCACGATGGTATTGCTATGGTTGGCATGAACCATATATAAACTAAATAGTTGAATATTATCCGGGGCCTAACCTTAGTCGGCGGAAGCACCACAAAATTTTCACATCATCCCATACGAGTTTAATAATATACATATCTTCATCTATATGCAAGCATCATTATTTACATCTTAATAAAGCATCCTTACAAAACACAATAAGATACATAAGTCCTGAGAAGAAGGTCAAGTCACCTAAACCATCACGCCAATCACGCTAAAAAAACTTGCCTGTACATGAGTCAAGTTATTCACTACAGATCGACAATCTTAACCATCGACAAACCATCACCGGCGAAACCAAATCGACAATCTTAACCATCGACAAACCATCACCGTTGAAACCAAGAGGACCATCAAAACCCCTAAGTGGTCCAACAAACCCCCATCGACTGCATCTGGCAAAAGGCCGTTATGCCCGAGTAATGCGTCAGGTGAAGGCTCGCGTCCTCGAAATTCAATGAAAACCTGGGTAAAGCAAAATTGGCACAGTGAGAACATCCAAGTAAAACTAACTAGATTGTGAGAATAATAAGAGTATGTAATGCAAAATTACAACTTCTGAACCTGTAGTGGAGCTTTTCCACCCCCAAGAGCAAGAATCGTCTCTCGGAACCTTTACGCTGTTTCTTTGATAGCACTGTCGACCACGCTCAATAGAACATGATAAAAACCGACAATTAATTCCGTAAATAAAAGCAATATTGAAGGAGCTTCATAACTGAATAGTATTGAACAAGACAAGAAGACTGCCCATGTGCAATGTTTTCAGGAAACTTGTTGATGACCTGACATGACGTTGGAGGTAAGGTTGTCTAAGAAGGTTGAATAATGCAGAAGAAAAGATTGTAACACCGGCCTGGAAGATTTTTTTGTATGTTATGCCATGGCCTTACTCTGTGCTATCAATGGTCCAATGGACCTTTGCATAAGACTTGGATTTCCCAATGGAAATTAAAACCTGACTGAATTTTCAGGTTAGTAATTTTCTGCCCAAGAACTGGAAAGAGAACCAAACATGAAGAAGTCCTACTGAACCAGTGTAGTTGATAAGATGCTACCACCTGTGCTACCTCCTTTTCCTCTCAAGACATAATTTCGGAAAAATAGAAAGAAGCAAGATGAAGTGGCATTAAAGGAGATAGTGGCTGAACAAGTCAAGCCATGTATGGGAGAAGTTAGAGAAAATCTTGGGATCCTCTTAACAGAATCAGCCCCACTTTCCCAGAGTGCTTCGTAGGTTTTAGTAGTGGGTTAGTCTTTCCTAGAATTTAGCAAGTTGTTGTTTTGTTCATCTTTATTTAAATGCTTCGGTTATGTACAGTTGCAGACAGAGAAAATATTATTATCTATTGTTCCCTTTCAATCTCAATTCTCCTCTCCTTCTCCGACTCTCCCTCTCTCTCTCTCTCTCTCTCTCTCTCTCTCTCTCTCTCTCTCTCTCTCTCTCTCTCTCTCTCTCTACTGCGGGTTGTTACCATTTTGGTATCAGAGCCAGTTGAACCATCACGGTGAATACTCGTTCCAGTTCTTCGAACCTTGACTCCCAAAACCCACCCCCCAACACACAACCAGCCCTGCTACCTACACCTCCACACACCTCTCCGATTAGCAACCCGCTTACCAACCTTCTTATTGAATCCCTCTCAGCCCCACCATCAGATGCTGACGCCTCTGCCCAACAATTTGCCTTCATTGTGGCTCGCCTCGCAACGATTGACTCCCTGGTGGCTGACGTGGCAGCGCTCAAGGAGCAATCCAGTGGTGTACCACCAACCGAATCCTTACCTGGCGCGTCCAACAAGGCCAAAGCCAAGGAAATTTCCTTCGGACCAAGGGAGCATAGGAAGTCAGTTTGGTCCGAGACGGAGGATGATGAGGCTGACAACCCATGGGGGCATCGCAATCAAACCCGACGGCCGTACACAAAAATAGAATTTCCAAAATTCGAGGGAGGAGACCCTCGTGGATGGATACTCAAGGCGGAGAAATATTTCCGCTATTATGAAATGCCCGATGAATTGAAAGTTGACGTCGCGGCAATGTACCTTGAGGGTGATGCGCTGGATTTGTTCGCTTGGATTAACATAGAGTGGACATTGGTCTATTGGGAGGAACTTGTTAAAGCCCTACAAGAGAATTACAGACCGGCGGAATTTCATAATCCCGACGAACACTTGTGCGGAATACGTCAAATTAGATCTGTACAGGAGTATCGGCAAGAATTTGCCAAACGTTCAGCTCGGGTTTCCAACTGGCCGGAGCACTGCTTGTTGGGGGTGTTCTTCAATGGACTGAAGGAGGAACTTAGGGTTGATGTTCGTATTCATAAACCCCGGACTGTCTACAAGGCTATGAGCCTAGCTTTAGAGTTTGAAACCAAGCTCGGCTCGGGGCGTGGAACAAGGGGATCTAACTGGTCCAGCATAAATCGTCCTCCACCTACTGCCTCTTCCTTCCCTTTCCGTCCCACGCTAGTTGCGGGGGTTCAGCATATCCCAACTACGGCGAATGTTAATTCGCGCAACACAGGGACATCAAATCTACCTTCCAACCTAACAACTTCAACGCGACTTTCAGATTGGGAGCGCCAAAACCGCATTGCGAAAGGCCTATGCTTCCGATGCAACGAGAAGTTTGCTCCAAGACATCGTTGCAAGCTGTCGTCTTTTTCTCTCATGGAGACGAATGATGCGGAAGACGCTGCAGATGAGTAGCTGGGTGGAGCGTGGCGAAGGAGAAGAACTCGAGACAGATTTTGCGAAAATTTCGTTACATGCGATTCTGGGAAAAGCCAGTGGCACAACCATGAAGCTTAAGGGTTCTTTAATGGGCTCGCCTGTCCTCATATTTATTGATAGTGGATCGACCCATAATTTTATCACTTCATCGCTGGTAGCATCGTTGAATATTCCCATTGAGAAGATAGTGCCTTTTGGTGTTCAGATTGGTAATGGGGAAGTCATACGATGTAATCAAGTTTGTCGTAAGGTACCAGTACAGCTACCGGGTTTGCATATTACCCAGGACTTCTATCCATTCACCATTGGAGGGGATGACTTAGTATTGGGGATCAAATGGCTTGCGTCACTCAACACTGTGCAAGCAAATTGGAATGAGATGTTTATGATCTTTTATATAGATGAAAATCGCTATTAGCTTCAAGGAGTTCCAGTACTATCTAAAGCCGAAGCCTCTTTTCAAGCCATTTCGAAGCTCAACGTCACCCAATCCATGGTGACACCAGGTAACCCTCCTCCACCAGCAGTAAATTCTTTATTACATGAAATTGAGGCTGTCTTCACTGAACCCACAACACTTCCGCCCTTCCGATCTCACTCTCATGCCATCCCATTACTACCCAATTCCAAGCCACCCAACATTAGACCTTACCGATACCCATATCACCACAAAGCTGAGATTGAGAAGCAAATCGATGAGCTTCGCCAAGCTAGTTTCATCCGCCCCACTTCAAGCCCCTTTGCTAGCCCAGTCCTCTTAGTCCAGAAGAAAGATAACACCTGGAGATTATGTGTAGACTATAGGGCTTTAAACCAAATGATCATACCCGACAAGTACCCCATTCCCAATATAGATGAGCACTTGGATGAACTACACGGAGCCACAATTTTTTCCAAAATTGACCTCCGCTCGGGCTATCATCAAATTCGCGTCCATCCTCCTGATATCCACAAAACTGCTTTCCGCACCCATTCGGGCCATTACGAGTTTGTGGTTATGCCATTTGGCCTCACAAACGCCCCATCAACTTTTCAATCAGCTATGAACAACCTTTTCCGTCCCTACCTTCGAAAATTTGTCTTAGTCTTCTTCGACGACATCCTAATATACAACCCCACCTTGGACCAGCACTCACCCATCTACAATTAGCCCTTGAAGCATTACAAACACATTCATTCTTGGTCAACGCGAAGAAATGTCTTTTTGGGCAACCACAACTTCGATTTTTGGGTCACGAGGTCAGCAGCCAAGGAGTTGGCGTTGATCAAGACAAAGTGCAAGCTGTGTTGAATTGGCCGATACCTAAGAATGTCAAGGAGTTGCGTGGATTCTTGGGTCTCATTGGGTATTACCGCCGCTTTGTGAAGAACTATGGATTGATTGCGCGGCCTCTTACAGATTTGACTAAGAAGAATGCATTCCAATGGTCCAAGCAGGCGAATTTGGTGTTCGATCAGTTGAAAACTGCACTCACCACTGTTCCTGTTCTTGGGCTGCCCAATTTTGGCCGCCCCTTCACAGTAGAGTGTGATGCATCTTCAGAAGGAGTGGGTGCTGTCCTCTTGCAATCCGAACACCCTATTGCATACTTTAGTAACGGTTTTTCCTTCTCTAACCGTTATAAATCTACTTATGACCGTGAGTTACTCGCTTTGGTTTTGGCTTTGCAAAAATGGAAGCACTATTTGTTGGGGTGACATTTTTTTGTGAACCATTGCAGCCTTAAGTATCTATTGAATTAGCGCATCACCACTAAAGAACAGCAACGCCTTATTCTGAAATTGCTCCCTTTCGACTTCACCATATTATACAAATCTGCGAAGACAAGCCAAGGGGCTGATGCATTGTCACGACGGCCACAACATGCAGATTTCATGGCCTTGGCTCTACCTGTCAATATGGATTTCCTGACCTTGCCCAATTCTTTACACCGCGATCCATACACTAAGGGTATCATTGAAGCTCTCCAACAGGATCCGTCTTCCAAACATAATTTTCACATTGCTGACAACAAGCTCTTCAACAAAGACAGGTTGGTCATTCCGGATGATTCTGTTGCGAAATTCAAATTGGCATTAGTATAAAAATCACAAACAATATAGAATCGCAAATAAACGAAATTGTAATAACAAAGTTGGAATCGATGACAAATGAATACAGGGCTGTGTTTGACACGGTTCCTTAAAACAGTTCGTTCACTTCGGGACGCGTCCGGGTTTCGTGAACGTCTCTCCCGAGGATACAACGGTTGACGTTAAGAAGTAATCAGGGACTTCAAAGCTTCCGGCGAACTTGAACAAATTGCGGAGCCCAACACTATCGAAAACCGTGCAAATGCGGAGAATATAAAACAGAGGAAGAATGATTTCGATAAAATAGAACGCAGGGGAGAGTATTTGGGAATAATAACGGCCGATTAAATATGTCGTTACAAAATCAATACGAATAACGGACGATTAAATCTACCGTTATAAAATCAATACGAATAACGGACGATTAAATCTGCCGTTATAAAATCAATACGAATAACGGATGATTAATTCGCCGTTATAAAATCCGCACATTACGAAATTCGTAGCAGGTTTGAGTTGAAACAAAAAAATAAATCGAAGGCAAAATTGGGCTCGTCGCGAGGCCCACCTTTCGATCTGCAATTGTGTACACGCGGGATGTGCTCGCGCCCAAGTTTCAACTTGTCGGGCGTCGGATTTGCACCACTGCGCTGCGCGCGAGGGAGAGTTTGTGCTATGATAGTTACCACTTCAAATAAGTGTAAGCGTATATAAAGCACTCCATAGCCTTCTTTCTTTTCCGATGTGGGAATAGTATTTTTTTCACTTCCCACTTCCAACTCAAGGGTGTTCTTTGAGCATCAATTTCTCATTCATTCACCCATCAATTTATCCCATATTTCCAACAATCCCCATGAATGAAAATTGTTTTAGTTTTGACTACGTGATAGTGTTCAACAATTGAAACACATAGGATAGGTAGGTGTTACCCTTTGAACCTTTCCTTGTGAAAGTATATTTACTTTACTAGTTGTCCGTAGACATGATGTCCTTGAAGCTGTCCGAGCTTTCTTATGTAAATGAACCATACACTTCACCAGGGAATCATCTAAACGTTTGTTCGATTCTCATAGTTATGTTCGTTTTGGCCATGAACATCAACACAGTTACGCAAGAGTTTCTAAAGAATTTAGCCCTTAAATAATTCTCCTTTGAAGCGGCCCCACTTCTCTCTCACATAGGTGATTACTTAATTTTGAGTAATTTGTTTACTCCACTTAAGAATCAT